CAGACATGATGTATTCTTTCTGAGGCTCCAGTGTACACATTGTGTCTTGGTTTAGAAAGTGAAGTGACATTTAATCTTCCAAAGAAGTATTTGTTATATGGACTCCCCAGGGGAGCCAGTGAACCCCTGAAGGACTCACTGCTTGAACTTTTCAGGTTAGAAGAAAGTATTTCAGCAAAGTATGCATCCTTGTTCCCAGCACCAAACCAGTCTGGTTAATTCTGATTACCTGGAACACCTTAATTAAGATATTTCCTAGATTCCTGAAATCTTGTTAAAATGCTGCAACAGAAATGAGATCAGACTTGAGTGAGCGTGTATAGTCTGGGTGTTACTCTTAACATCTGCATATTATATAATGTCACCAAGATGCAAACGTAGCTTCAGCTCTAACAAACCCTGACAGGAAACTATTCTGAATATTGTTCTTGATGCACAGAATTCAATCATAGAGTCTGTTCTTGTGCACTAAAGATCAGGTGGCCATGAAGGTTTTGTTAGCTCTGGGAACATCAATCAATGTGCTTCAAATAAGTGCTCACTAATGGAGCTCAGCTTCGCAGAGGCCGTGACCACACAACCCCATGAAAGAAGCAGCCCTCGGCTGCCCTGTGTCCTCTAATCGGGTGGAAGGGCGGTGTAGAAGGCTCTAAAATAGACTGTGTGGCAGGCTAGGAGAACCCTGGTTCTTTTTCATTACTGAACTAGAATGTAATTAGAAACCTGAGCTGCTTACCCCAAAAAGCAGTCTTCATGTTTGGGGCACTTCCTCTTGATTTGATACTGATGACTAGTCAACTTCCCACTTGTTCACACAGCCTATCAGAAGCTGGAGAAAAATGTCTTTGATTTATTCATTCACAAATGAGCCAAAAAGACCTAGATGTTGACTTCATGAAGTAAAATCAACAAAACCTTTTCCCAACATAAGCTCAATATAGTCAACTTAATTCAAAATAGAACAGAAGGTAGGCAAAATATGCGTATGAACATAGGCTCTTTAGTGTTAACTACAACAAGGTCATGTGTGAGGAAGAGTTGGTGAGTATGGACAGTCAGGAGAGAAGCCCACCTCGGCTGCTCACCTAGACGTGCGGAAGAAGTCTGACTCTTCTCTGCACCTGTGAGTGTTCCACCCTGGAGCAGCTGTAGTTTTGGCTACTCACTCTCCTCGCAGGGACTCTGATTCTTCATCCATGAGATGTGTGAGACACTAGTCCAGGCCCCAAGGTACCCTTGAAGCAAAGTATCCTTGACAACTTGGTACTTTGTATGTGCTTAACAACTGTCAGTTGTCGTTATGCATGGGAACCTGGGCAAGTTTTTGTACTGTCCTTTCCCCCTTTCTTACTTTTTTGTTTCTAAGGATCAAAGTGTGTGCAGGAGAGGGAAAAGTAAGGCTATTTTAGTTATTAAAGTTTATTCGAGTCTACTTAAATCATTCCATTAAAAGGAATTTGGGAGAACCATTTGAAACAATGATCTGGTACTAATAACCCAGTTTTGACGTGTGAAGGATTCCAAGATATCAGGTCATTGTTAAGGCTCTTCCACAGTTTGGGGGTTAAAGGTGTTGAAGACCCTAGAGCCAGGCTTATTTGGGAACTGCTCTCAGGTTAAGTCTGCTACGCTGTGCTTGACTTTTGAGAGATATTAAGGTACATTAGAAAGACAGGTTTAGAATCACCAATGGCAACCAATTACCAGCTGTGCCATCTTGGGCAAGTTAACTTCTGAGCATCAGTTTATTCATCTTCAGACAGACATGACAATATCTACTTCGTAAATTTGTGGTGAGGATCATGTCACCATTCACATAGTAAAGGCTCAATGAATATCCCCCTGCCCCAACATAATCTCCTCTTCCCCAAGAATATAAACAACTCGGGTAAACCCAGAAGTTGTCAACAAATCAGAGCATAGCCTGGGACAAAACTGATTCAAGATATATTTGCAATAACTCTATTCTTCAAAGCTTGAACTATAGCCACCCCTTATAAATAAATGATATCACCTTTCTGTTGTTCTACCTATAAAGATAGAGCTCTTAGGATTCTAGAGGCGGTAAAGAAACTGAGACATCTTAGAGAAACTGAGGCCAGGATTATACTTCCAAGCAAGACCAGCTTGTTGACTAGAAAGAGACAGAAGGAAAATATCACCATCACTGGAGGCTTTGCCTACCTGAATGTCTTGCTATTGCTCTGATAAAGATCAATTTGGCAGGTTGGAGAGTTAAGAGGCTGTAATTCATAAGTTTCCCAGAATCATTCATTGCCCAGAATCCATTCACTGAGATGGCTTACTTTCTTCCTAATATGTAGTGAATACTGGTCGCACAAAGTAAGTACCATATATGCCACAGATTGATGGGTTAGGGGAGAGAGAGAGTACATGGTGCATCCAAGAAGAGAACGAGGCTGCTGTGGTTGTAGAAAGGAGAGAGGATTCAGTGTTGACTCAGATTTGACTCTGGGAGTTGGGATCAAGTGCACCTAGAATTTAGAGACAAGAATTCCATTCTTCATCTACCTCTTACCCATAGAGTCCATCTCATTAGTAGAGCAGTTATTCTTTTTTCCCTAAATTATAATTTAAATAAGTTTTCTGGACTAGCCAGGCTCCTACCCATCCTTGGAAGCAGTTATTACTAGGAGGTTATAGATATACTAGCAGATAAGCAATTTAGAAATGAACTTTTGAAGCCAAAGCTGATCTTACATTGTTATTTGGAGCTGTTGATGATTCCTAGCTTGTTGTGGTCAAATTACAGATACATCACACAAGTGGTAGTTGTTTCTGAGGTGGGTAACACGGTAGATTTGAGTCCAAGTTGCCAAGATCTAAATCCCAGCTGCACCACTTGATTAGATATTCGAGTTTGATAGAGAGTAGCAATTTGTCTTGGGTAGGTTTTCAGTTCACGCTAATGAGATTTCTCCATCAGGAAATTGATGGTGAAATAGTACTTAGTTCCTGGGGTTTTCATAAGGATTAAATTTACTAACACAGTTTGTAAAGGTAAGTTTACTAACAGGCTGACAATGCTTCCTGGCATGTGACAAAAGCTCATTTGCTATTTGCTATTTAAGGGGTACAACCAGTAGGGGCACACTTTTGCCTCCATTTCACCACATTTTTCCAAGTAATCTTTTCTCCCTTGCACATTTTATTGTTGCATTGGAAAAAGACAGTAAACGTTTTCCTAAAGGTCCTGAAAACTGAATTAGTCAGATTTTTTAGTCACATAGAGTCAGATTACTTTTTTGTAAGGGTCATCTATTTATGCATACAGAACTGGGGTATAGGTTTGAGATGTGGGGTGGGGGTTAGAGGATTCACCAGACACAAGAGTGGGGAGCAGAACAGCAGATTCTGAAGGGAGCAGCAGGGAGACAGAAGAGGCCTGCCACACCATGTGGGTCACCTCCCTAGCTGGCAATATAACTGGTGCTGAAGAGGCTTCAGCTAGCTTCGTAGTATTGTGCTTTAACCCGTTGTGCCACCAGGGAGGGCCCTGAGTCAGATTCTTAATTAAAATATCAAAGCACGGGGCCCTCCCTGGTGGTGCAGCAGGTTAAAGCATTGCACTAAGAAGCTAAAGCCACTTCAGCATGAGTTCGATCCCACCCTGGAGCTGACCCACATGGCACAGCAGACCTCTCCTGGCCAGCCCACTGCTCCCCTCAGCAGTATACTTCTCATCCTGCCTGTTCTGCTGCCCACTCTGTCTCTGGTGAATCCTCTCACCACCCCTGTACCTCTGGCCTGTACCCCAGCTCTGTATGCATAAATAAATAAATAAATCTTTTTTAAAAAATCTATCAAAGCACGTATTCAGAGAATGGATAGTCCTGGGTTACTGAGACCCAAGAATTGAAATTGGATTTGTAATGACGATTGAAATGAAGTTGCATAAAGAAGCCCATTTCATAAGAAGTTAGGAAGTTCAAACTCTTCAAAGGACCTCTTGCTTCCTCAAGGAGAACTTGTCTACCCAGTATTCTCTCCTCCATTCCCCATGTCTAGATAACTTAGGCATCTCTATAACTTACATGTTTTGTATTTTTTCCAATAAAATTGCAAAGTTTAGTCACAGAGGGCCCAAGTTTTTAAAATATTTAAAACATAATATTAAGTTCCTATCTTTGCATAAGGAGAATAAATTAGGGGAAAGGGAGAGGGGCCAAATATTCAATACGCTTGTTAATTTCCAAACATTTCAAAAATCACAGGTAATTTGATTTGTGTATAAAGCTATATTTCAAAAAGTATACCTCAAAATTCCAGAGGTAGAAAGAAAACTAAGAGGTAATTTACTTTCTCCCCTATATTCCCCTAAATTTTCGGGGACCTTTCTTGGGGCAAAGGCTGCTCATTTTGAAAAGTCTGCGCCTGCCAACAACTAACAAGACTATGTAATACCATTACCAAGGCAACAACAGACTATGTAGTTAGAAAGTGTGGTATACAGCCAGGATGGAAACTAGATTAACAATGTGAAGTGAAGTTTTTTTTTTTTAATTAGAAAAAAAGAAAATCTCATCACCTTATATAAATGGGTATGATGTTAGCAGTTCCAACATCTGTTGTTACAATGGAACTTGGTTATAGAGGATTTTTCTCTATATTGCCTCGGTCATGGGTACAAGGATACATGGATACTTGCCAGTGATAACCCACCCTGGTAACTCTGCTGAGCCGTGTGAACCTTGATTCCACCCCATTCAAGTTAGACAAAGAAATGTTTCACTTGCAAAAAGCGAGAACATTTTTCTCCATGTTCTACTTGAAGCCCCTGGATTCAGACAGACCCTTCCAGACTACAGTTGAAAAGATAGATGCGTCTATTTCTCCCAAAGCAGCGCAAATATTTGCTGCTTAAAATTATTTGACTCTTGGGAAACAGGAGTAACCACTATCCAAATACTTGATCATTTTTCAAGGGCAGTTATTTCAGTTTCAAAAATATCTTAATTTTTCTCCTGTTTTCCTTTCAGGTACAATCCTTGGATTTACCCTCCGACCATACAAAATGAGCTACCGGGAAGTCAAGTACTTCTCCTTTCCTGGTGAACTCTTGATGAGGATGTTACAGATGCTGGTGTTACCCCTTATCGTCTCCAGTCTTGTCACAGGTACCATATATGTTGTTGTTGTTTTTTTTTCCCTAAGTGTGCTTATTGGCAAAAGATTGCTTAGAAAAGCAAATGCTTTAGGTTTCTACTGGATGCATGCTCTGTTCTAGAAAAAAAAGTCCCTTCAAAATGCTGGAAAGGAGGCTTTAGTAATGCATGAATGATTATAACTCTCATATGTTACCAATCACAAGAGGAAACAGATTGAAACAGCCACGTAATTGGTCAGCCTCACTACCAAAGAGGCACCCTGCTAAACACTACACCATCAGCCTTCTCTGACCACAGCGATACAGTTGACAACAGCGTACAACAGGTCTGTTTTCTCACCCTCTTATCCCACCCAGATAACATCTGGTTGGACAGCCTATTAGCTATTGATGCAAGAATGCTTGTTCTCAGAACCACCAGGACTTGGCGGGAGCCTTCTTGGAAGCCTCATCGAGAGGTAATGCCCACAACACACTCACCAACTCTACTGCCACCAACACTTTATCTTTTCCTGGTGAACCCGCATGATTTCATTTCCTTCTCAAGTCGTCCCCACCCCGCCCCATTACCTTTTACGCTGGTGGGTGAATGGGGAGGGGGCGGGAGATTCCCCCATCTGGATCTTTTGTCAGTTAGATTCTTGGATTTTCAATGAGTGGAAAACGTGGCAGGACAAGATTCTGTTGTCTAGGACAGTGAGATCACAATTTATTCCTGCATGGGAAATAGTTAAAGAGGCATTTGTGTGTGTGATTGGCGAACACAGAGACAAGTGATTTAAAAAACAAAAAAAAATGTGACTGTACGTTCCTTCCTGCCCACTCTTCTCTTTCCCCACAGCACATCTCTGACTTGGAGAAGGAATTTCCATAGACACTGCCCCAGCAGGATGGTTTCTGGGTTTGTAGCTAGAGCCCAGAACTCAGGTATTACTGGCCCTGTTCTATGTCCGACCTTTGGTTCCGCATCCTCTGAGGCAGAACACTCGGCCTCCTTGTGAGCTGATCTGAGGAGCTTTCCTCCTCCCAGCGAGTTCTCAAGGGTATTAAATCTTCTTTCAAGATCTCTCTGTAATAAGAACTTCATAGTAAAACTCCGAAGTCGTGGCGCAAGATTCTGGCCACTACATGCCTTGGAGTGCTGACCGTTACGTGGACAGAAACTATGTCAGTTTTTTGTTTGTTTTTTTTTTTTTTTTCTTCCTCTGCTGGCTTCTACTTGTCCAAGGCTGTAAGCAAGTGATTGCTTGTGTGCAAATGGCTCGCATGTGGAGATGAGGGCCCATAAAACAATCATGTCAACAGGATGATTAGGGCACTTGTTGAAACTGCTCTCGTCCCTTCCGTTGCTGGCTAGGAGTAATCACGGCACCCACAATTCTTATCACAGAAGTCAGATTAAATCAGACATGATTGCGCAGCCTTGTGTTATTATCCACATGATATGATCTTTCTGGGAAACAAACCCTTTGCAGTTAGCATGTATAGCACAGAATTCATAGCCATCATTTTATTTCATAGAGCAAGGAAACCTCTTAGCCATCTCTGCTAGTAGGTGTCTATAATGTCCCTCAAACCATACTAAAGGGTCATGGTTTTGCTCACACTGTTTCTTCATGGACTAGACCAATGTTAGCAGTTTCTGCTCTCTGTAACTGGGCAAAAGTTGTGTTACCCTTTATAAGAGGAAAGCCTTCGTTCAGTACAACTAGAGAAAGTATTGCTTCCACTTACTAGCAATTCTAGTTAACAGTTACCTTGAGCTGACATTTTCCTGTGTTTTCTAATACTTAATACATCAAGTTCATCAGAGAAATAAGAGCTTTCATAGAGCAATTTGCAAGAAAAAAAAAAAACACTACAATGCAATCTCTTTGCATGGTTAAAAAGAAATACGTGAGTAAACCTTGGAGAAATTGCCAGGTTGCCAGTGGCCTATGTAAACTTTGAAAATGTAACCTCAATGCAAATTGAGATCACTTAGAGAGTCCCAGGACTTATTTAGACCATGTGAAGGCCAGACGTTTGGGGGGCATAATATTCCAGAGATCTTTTTAAGAAGGTATTCTTTAAGGAGTAATTTCTAAGCTGCCCAGTAACTTTGATACTTACGATCAGCTGGAATGCATGATTCAATAAGAATTTTCTTCATAGTTTTAAGTACAATGACTGTACTTAAAGAGGGATATGACCCATGGAATTGAGGAGGAGTGGTGATACTTCCGAATATTAAACACCCGCCTTGAGAATCCCTGTGTGGATCGAGAGATAGTGCTGGAGTATGAGCTGCCTGGAGAGGAAATAAAGGTAAGGCCACCGTTCTAGAGTGGAAAAAGCCAAGTGCATCTGGTGGCCAAGCAGTAACATCAGTAGAGGAAATGGACACTTCAGGTTTCTCACTGTTGTCCTACTTTGATAAAGTCATGGATACAGAGAAACAGTTCTTTTCAGCAGGAAATCACAGGAGTAAGTGTGGTGGCGAGCGAGAAGTGAAGGGCCCCAGCTGCAGAATCGTGTAGACAGAGAGGCAGGGAGACTACGATGCCCTGAAGAGAATCAGCTCTAGTCAGTGTTGCCATGTGTCAACAAGGGCCAAATCTTCCCATTTTTCAAGACAATCCGGAAGTTCACACATTTTAAAGAAACTTCTGATTTTCAACTGTTCAATGTAATTAACAGGACAAAACACTGCAAGCTCAACAAAACATTGGCCAGGCTAATCTCACCCATGCATTACTCTATCAGAATTCAGGCTTGAGTATCGGAGCTGTTGAATATGGAAAAAGCCCTGCTGGACCTGTGTGTCCATCAGGCTAGAGTGGGGGGTCACGTGCTGCTTATTCCACTGTTGACAGTGAAGCCAAATCTTAACGTGGAATCACCTCTCAAACATCATCTCTATTGTTACATAAACAGCTTCACTCTATTTTCTAAGTCTACCTGTGTTGCATAAGAGTTATTGCTCTTTTCTGCATCCAGTACTGGGGTAGGAACTCAGAGGTCATATTCCCATAGAAAGTATTTCCCACCAGGAAAACACTTAATAGATTTAGTGCTCTTAAGTCCAGCAGTCCTTGGGTTTTGAGGATAGAAATCAAAATTCATGAAAAGTATCTTGCGTTTTTTAGACTAGGTTTTGATTTTGCAAGTTCTGTCCATTTAACTGGACGAAAGTTACATAAACTTGAGAAAAACAAGTTAGATTTTTATATCTGAAACCAGTGTGTTTGTCAGTTATAGCTCTAAAGTCCCTGTAAGCCATGTTTTCCTTTTCCTAAATCTGAACTATCAATTTTCCCAAACATCCTTGGTGCATATTAGCATTCCAGAAACTGCCAAAGAGAAGTTGGGAGAAAGCCTAATGGCTAGATTTGTACTCAAGTACTTTTTTTTTTTTTTTTTTAACAAGCAGAGTATGTCTGTGCCAACACACCGTACAATAAAACAGGGGTTTGGCGCCAATTTCTATTGATTTGGTCAGAGTAGGCAGCCAAACTAGGTATTTCATGCCAGAAATATGAGTTGGTTTGACTGGCTGAGTCTGATTAAATTCACTAGATAATAATTAAACTCCATTTCAGGTTGTGCTGTATAAACATATCACCTCCTCCTTACTTTGAAATCTTTTCAGAAATCGAGTGCCTCCTTTCTCATTCTAAGTGCACATTCCTTCTGTATGATTTACCTCAAAATAAATCTTTTGTCTCTCTGGTTTCAATCTGTGAAATTTAACAGACTAAGTAAAACGGGGATGGGAGGGGTGCGGCAGAGACAATAAAAGGGGCCCAGAATCTGGGTCCCCGGTAGGCACCCTGGAGGGAGGATTCTGAAGTGAATGAAGTTTGTTTTATAACAGCCGCTGACCCATAGCTACTTCTTGTGCTCTTACTGAGCCAGGCACGGGGTTAGACACAAAGATATGTGAGCACAAAGACAGTCCCTAAGAAGATGCATAAAGGGCAGGGGATAAGAATCTCCCCTGAACCCCTTAAATCATGCAGTATACAAAAACAGATTCTAGTTCCATGGATGAGGGAGAAGGGATGGCCCTACAGTCAACAAGAAAGACAATTTGATTTATTTTAAGGACATGATTTCTTGAGTCATAGCATCTGCATCCCAAGTTACATGGGTGCCACCCCTTTTCTCATTCACTTAACATTTTCTTTCAATTAACATTCTTTTCTTCCAATGCCTCAAATCAGTGAGGGAAATGGAGACCTCCTGTTGCTTGCCTTGTGAAGGAGAGAGTGTATTACGGTGTTAGAATATTCTCCACCGATTCTATTGCTCACTGAAACTTCTGAGAGCTTGAGACCTACGCTCGGGTCTAAAACAAGAAGAAGGGAGGTTTCCAAAAGTTAGTAAGATGTTACATATGAACGAATGCCAAAGTAAGACTTTTTCTCTCCTGTTATACAAAGGGCTGAAAATGAACTGAAAAGAAAAACTTTCTCGCTATAGGTTTTAAGATGAATTAAGGTGGAATTCTGTACCAGCAGAATAAATAACACTGTGTTTACCCCACTTTGGGAAATACTGGCCTAGATGAGCCATTCCTTCCAAGCCATGGTCTTCTGTCTACCTAATCCTTTCAAAGGACAAGAGATCTTTGGAACCAAAAGACCTTTGGAAAATGCTAACAAGTGATTTTTGTTGTTGTTGTTTGTTTGGTATCCAAAATGAAACAAGCAAAAGGGAAAGCAAAGCCAATCATCTACCTACCTATAATCCTCCTCCATGACAAGCTCCGTAAAGGGCCAGGTATTCTCAGGCCACCTCCTTCCCCGTGTATAGATCAGGAACTGAGTGAAATATGGAACTTAACTACAGGTGAAGCCAACAAGCTGCTATCACCAAGAAAGGACCTCTTCCCTGAGAAGATAAAAGTAAAAACAATAAATATTATGCCTCAAATTATGACCCTTGGCTTCAGAAAATTGATAATTGCAATAAATCTAAAGCTTTTTCATTCCATCAAATATAAAAGGACAAAAAATGAGCTATCCC